ATTAATTATTGTATTATTTTTCACACAAACAACTATAAATCTACTTTTGCCCCACCCTGTATGTGCTACTTAATAGTGCTTACTATATCTCAGGCCCTGAATCATTGAATTAAACATACAGCTCAGCTTTTAACTTATTTACTTCTTATGATAACATGTAAGATAAATATTATTATTACTCCCAAATTACAGATGGCTAAAAATAAGCTCTTGGATATTAAAGAGCTTGCTTGAGATCTCAAAGTGACTGTCAGAGCCAAGGTACGAGTTTAAACCTTCCTGACTCTAAAACTCATGCTCTTAACCATTATATTGTGGTATTTGAGACAAATTTTGTACAGTGCAGTTTGTACTACTACTATTACAGAGTGATATAATAAGATACAGTATGATTCAATTAGAATATAAAATATTTAAGTGAGGTTATTAATTATCTGGTACATATAATAATTTCAAAAGGAGTTAGACAAGAGAAATATGTATGTGGCTGGAGGCAGCCAGTAAAGGTATTGCAAAGATTGAACTTGAACTGAACTGGGCCTTGGAGAGTGGATCAGAGAAAAAGAACCAACATGAATATGCTTCCTGAATAAACACTGTATGTACATTGTCTCATCTGATTCCTCACAGAATCCTATAATGGAAGTTCTGTTCTCCCTGTTTACCAAGGGGAAACTGAAGTTCAAAGAGGTTAATTTTCCAAATCCTCACTGTTAAGTGTTGAGCTAGACTCAAACCTGGATGTCTCTTCCATTCCATATAGCCTCAGGTTAGTAGATAGGGCCAAAGAGAGCATTCTGGTGGAGAGGAGCAGTGGGAGCAAAGATAGGCCGGAATAAACAGGATGCCTATGAAAAGGAGGAAATAAATAGGCATCAAGCCTTCTATCTTCAAAGGAGCAGAGGGCGGGACTTCCTAGCAGCTCTGCCCATTGCAGAGGATTGCAACAGGATAGGGTGAGGGTAGGGGTTCTGGGGTTCCTGGAAGCTGACTGAAGCCCATAAAACCGGCACTGTGCCAACTGTGTGGCTAAAACTGGCCCATCCAGTATTGCTGGGCAGAGAGAGCCATGGCCTGAGGGCTGGTTCCTGGAAGTCTGGCCACTGTCCCAATCCAGTGGCCACCCAAACATTGCTGCATCCTGGTGCTGGTTCTCTCCCAGAGTCAAGCTGCTCACTGGCTTTAGTTCTGTCCCAAGCCTCTCCCTACCAGAACGTGGCTTCCAGTTAGACTGTTCTCAGTTCCTCAAGCCCCTGAGGCCCTCTGGCCTTCAGATTTCTAAGCTGCCATCTTCTAATCATAACAGAGTCACTTTCTTACTAATCACATTTTATCTTCCCAACAACTCCACCAAATAGATATTATCATCATTATCTCCATTTTTCATGTGAGGAAACAAAACTCAGAAAGGTTGGGTTGCTCAAAGCCGCATAGCTAGTAAATGCAGGGATTCAAATTCAGGCCTTAAGATTTGATATCTGGTCCTCCCTCATTCAACTATATACCATACAACCTATTTCTCTCTCTAGATTTAGAATTGAGCCCCCAGGGGTTATTTCTTCTGGATTATTGTGGACCCATTTATCAGCTTTCATCTATTTTTGGTTCAGTGCTGGGCTCTGCTAACTAGGCATAACTTTTAAATGCCAGGTCTGGGAACCTCAGTCCTATCAACTCCCTGGACCCTTGAAAGCAGCAAGTTGTTTTGGCCTGAGAGTGAGGTTCTGTCCTCTCAACTCCCGAGTCAATCTTCAAAGAATTCTTATCTGTGGAAAGAAACTTTCTCAAAGACTTTTCTATCTTACCCTCATCCAAACTACAACACAAAGGGAAAACAATAGATGGCTTAGGAGGTCTGGTTCCACCATCTGGGCCTCAGTTTATATCCCCCATTTTCTTGCTGCTTACTTCATTAGGAGGTGCCTCACTACTATTCCCTGGTCCGGGACCCCCTCCGCCACCTCCTCCAACCATCCGGGGTAACCGCCAGGCTCTGCTGCCTAGGATAACGCCCACCCCTCCCCTTGCCCCCTGTGGCTGCCTCCCCTTTCCGTCTGTTGAGAGAGGAAGCCAGGGGGTGTTGGGTGCAACCCTGCAGGGCACTGATAAAGGGACAGCCCTGCACCCGCCCCCTGGGGCCATTGCGGTCAGACCAGCAGGCAAGGCAGCCAGCTCCTTCTGGGACCCAAGGCCCTCCCCTGGTTCCACCTCTACCCGCCCTGCCGTACTCGGGAAGCTGGTTGCATAACTAGTGGGGTGTTTGGCAACATTGCTTGTGGCTTGACCTGATGCTGCTGGTGGTGTGCACACGCTTTGGGGTGAGGGTGGAGGTAGATTGAGCAGGAGTGACAAGAAGTTAGTCTTTTGCGGGTGGGTGAGCAGCGTGGATAGGGAATAGTATAGCAGTAAAGATGTGACCACATTTTTCTTCATGTTCTGTCTGCTAACTTTGCTGCCATGGGAGAATCTTGGGGGATAATAAAAATCTTAGGTATCCTACCTCGCCATGCCACACTGTCCAACTCATTCAGACTCCTAATCCTCTGGTACTTGTACATTAAGCAAAGGAGACTTAAGGTAGAAGGGTGTTGACCCTGGACCTAAGGAATCGGAGAGGAGGGGGTCTAACTGAACCATTCTTACCTGAAGGTCTGTAAAGGTTGTCTGGAGGCAGTACACATCCTGGGAACCACAGTAAAGGCCTCTTTTTACACAAGGGGTGTAAGGGTGGGGTGGGAGAGATACCTCCACCTATCCCATTGTCTGAGTTATGGCTGCCTGTTCACTTAGGTCAGCCTACGTGACCATGTCTCTCTTCCTCATAAGTAGTAAACTACTTCAAACACTTCTACAAATGCCTGTTGCCTACAGGATGAAATACATCTTCCCTAGCTTGGCTTTCAAGGCACTTTACAATCTAGTTGTTAAATCCCAGGCTTATCTTCTAGCGCTTCCTACTCTTACACCCTACCCTAGTTAGCACAAAGTACTACACTGTGTTTTATGTCTCTTGTATCTTCACACCTTTGCTTGGAATACCCTTCCCACCTCTGTGCCTAGCCATTTTCTACAGCTCAGCTTAATTTGTCACTCCCTCTGTGAAGTCTTCTCTAAATTTGACCAGGCAGAAATTCAGGTCCATAGAACTTTATATAGACCTTTATTAGTATAATTCCTCTACTAGATTATGAATAAGGATATAGACTATGCCTTATTCATCTTTGTGTTCTTGGAGTGTAAACCATAGTAGATGGTCAATAAATATTTGTTGAATGAATGAATGAATGAATGATGAGGCTTGTGTTATCCATAGTTGTATGTGCCATGCCACAGTGTCCTGAACAGGTAGTTTTAATGGAATGTTTGTTGACTAGCTGTAACTTGATATCATTATTTAATCAGCCGTAAGTGTGACTATTATCACTCCTAATCAACTCTGAGGTGCCCAAATAAGTATGCAAGTGAGAGAGCTATATCTGAACACACGTTTGTGACCCAGATTCATGCCCAAGTCATCAAAAGATTCTGAACCCACATGTAACATGCAATGAAGCCATGGGTCACCTCCTGTATTACATAGATCATACATGTAGAATCATGATCTTAAGGGATAAGGATGGAATTCAAAACATTTAACCATGGGTTTGGCCTGGGCATTGATCGGTCCCGCACACACAGTCTGCAGGGAGGCTGTAAAGAGGCAGTACTGCATTGCCTCTTGAGATGCTTAGTTGTGTTACTGGGTTGTCAGGGGTACTGAAAGAGAACTGGGGTGGCTGATGTAGTGGTGGGGAACATTTGGAGGAATCCCAGCAGCTATTTTTATCAACTGAAGCAGAACTTTTGTGTGTGTGTGTGTGTGTGTGTGTGTGTGTGTGTGTGTAGGGGCAGCAGAACATTTTAATTATTTTCACAGTCAACACAATTCTATCAGAGAATACTGGCTGAATGCCAGACCTGCCTTGGGGTGGCATCTGTCTGTCTCTCCAGTCTTTAACTGTTTCCAATTTAACTTAAACACTATCATAAAAAAAAAAGAGATAGAAAGAGTAAGCTGCAGCTGTAAGTACTGAAGCTAGACATAGGAAGGATTTCCACTAAAAGCTAGGAGAAAGCAAGATTGTTTTCTCCTAGTCTCTGGAAAGAGATCTGTTTGGCTTGGAACTTGGGTCGTGTGTTGAAGGCAAAGGGAAGAATGAGTGACTTCTGGGGGGTATTTATTGATCTGACAGAGTTGCTGTGGGTGCTGGGGGATAGACCTGATATCCTACACACATGTCCTGGCCTGTCCATAGATCTGGGGTGCCTTGCCTGGAAGAAAGAAGGACAGAGGGCAACTGGGGTCCCCTTTAAGGGAGGTGAATAATGTCCCTGCTGGGCTCCACCCCGCCCCCCAACTCCCCTCACACTGACAACAAACCTAGCCAAGAAAGAAGCCTTTGTCCTGGGACATCTGAGGCTGTAGGGGGAGGGGGAAAGGCTACAGGTGAAAGGATACATCAAAGCAGCCGGCTGTCCCTCCTTCCCAAAATAGCTCCCCTACTCCTTTACCAGAACCCAGGCTTTCCTTAAATAAAAGCAGTACCCTAGACACCCACTTGCCTAAACAGCTGGAACACTAGAAACCTGGTCCTTTTCTTCAGCTGCCTTCTACCTTGCTATGACTCAGTTTCCCTGTTCCTAAGAGAGCAGAGGGCAGGAGGTTACAACTTGTGTAAAGTTTAGAGGTCGCTTTGGAGTGGACCATCAGCTTGGAATTCATCATCTGCATGGGAGAAACACAGACCTGACTGGACTCCTGGGCTCAAAAGGAGGGCTGAGAGAGGCTTGGAGCCATGTGTGCCCCTGCTGGCCGGGATCAGGGTGGGGGTGGGGTATGGGCAGAAACCACACGGGGCTCAAGTTTCCTCTCTTGGCCAGAAGGGGCAGAAGGAGAGGAGGGCCATGGGGAAAGGGGAGGGTTGGAGGAAGGACGAAGAAGTCAGGCCCCAGGGCTTCAGAGGAGACTGGTGTGCCGCCCTGGAGCTCCCTGTGATCAGTCTGAGCCTCCACACTCAGAACTCAGCAATGGTCAGGAGGCGGGGCACAGACCTCCCAGGTTCTCGGAGGTAGCAGGGATCCTCACCCAGGAGCTGTCAGCCCAGGCCCTGCCTCCCCAGAGACAGCACTCGGAGCCTCATCTTTCTCTGCACTCTGCTTGGACCCTGCCACAGGTGCCTGAGGGGCGGGGTGGGAGGGAGATTCCAATGGGATCCAGGGACAGACTGGGAGGTGGAGGAGGCAGAGGGAGAAAATACCCAACTTTCGTATGTTCTTAAGAGATCTTGGACCTTCCAGGCTGACCCTGGTTTAGGAATTTGACATCTCCGGGAACTCCTCTGGAAGAAGACCTAGGTTTCTGGAGTGTTCTGGGATTCTTGGGGTGAAACACTGTGTATGGGGACCAGACAGTGGTGTCTTAAGGTACCTCTGAGGGGCTGGAGAATGACCCTGAGTAACCCTTCAGCAGGCTGGTTGCCCTGGGGAAAATAGTACCACCCTTTCTCCTCTCCTTTCCATCATGCTGCTCTGGCCAGCTGGCTAGGAAGGTTTGGTGGAGGCTGAGGAACTGGATGGATATCTGGATCACCGAGAAGTGTTGTTGCAGCAAGATGGGGTGGTAGAAGTAGGGAATGCTAGTTCTTGCCTCCCTTTGTCCCTTCTCTTCTCTGGGCAATAGGGATCAGATGGAACTGGAAGGAAAAGGAAGGTATTCCACTCCCAGGATAGCTCCTTCCAACTGGAAGTATAAGCAGCAGGAACGGAGTGGGCTAGGAAGCAGTGGAAGAGAAGAGGGACTGGGACTGGAACTCTCTAGTCATTGGTCCCCCAAAGACTGCAGTTTTGGGTCTAAGGACCAAGTGACAGAATGGCAGAAACTTGTCCCTCTCTCCCTTGTTCCCATACACCTGTTTGAGCTATGTACGCCCTCAGGAGATTGGACCACACTCTGATCAACTCAATCTCTCTCTCTTTTTCCTTCATTCTCTTTGTTTCTCTCTCATCTCTGTGTCCCTCTTCCTCTTTGGGGATTCTTCCTAATCTTTCTGAGTAGGTTGCTCACCTGCCACTCCACACCCCAAGTTTCACTGATCTCTCTTCATTCTTTCACTGCTTCTATTGACATCTGGAAAGGTGGAGTGGTCTAATAAGCCTCAGAAAAAGGTCCTAGGGCCCTACCAGGGTAGCTCAGTTGGCTATATGCCAAGGTTGTGTATTCAATCCCTAGTCAGGGCACAGACAAGAATCAACCAGTGAATACACAAATAAATGGAACAACAAATCGATGTTTTTCTCTCTCCCCCTCTCTCCCTTCCTTTCTCTAAATTCAATTAAAAAAAAACAAAAAGAACAGGGTCCCAGGGTCAAAGGGTCCCCTTCCCCTTGTCAAGACAGTTAGAGCCTTGGGGCAGCAGTTGAGGCCAAATGTCTTCCTCTTCCCAGCATCCCTCTAAATAGTTCTCATCCTGCATCCTTAAGCATAAAGCCCCTTGTCATTCTGCAAGTACTCAGGGATTGTGATAAGATTCTGGGTAGGACCATCAGTATGGGAATAAAGGGTGGATTTATAGTTCCTGGAGATGGCTCCAGTCCTACTTGATACACGATGTTGGGGATAAGATGGCAGGGTGACCACAAAGTTTGGGCTAAACTGGGAAGTGGGAACTGATTATTGTAAAAGAAAAGGGACATAGGAAGTCCCGCTCCATTTTCCCAGTATCTCTCTAGTTTCTGTACCCTCTGTGGCATTCTTTTTGATTCAATTCTGACTATACCCTCTTCCCTGATTTATACCACCGGCTGACAAACCTCTGGCTGGTCCTCAGAAGGGTAGGCTCCTAAGACTCAGCGGAGCCTATGCCTAGTATACAGAAGGACATTGCTGAGTGTTTAGGGAAAAACATACTTCTCTCCTTTGACCTAGTGCAAACTGTATCAGAAAGCTGGTTAGAGCTGATCCAGAGGTTCTCTTCAACTCCCCCTTCTCCAACCTCTTGCCTCCCTCTGAGCCCCTTCTGGATTCTCATTTCCTTGTCCTAGGGTGAGGGGGAGATTGAGCTCATGGTCTTCATGAGGAGGGGTTGATACTTAGTCTCAGATACTGGGGCAGTCAGAACCTAGTGTTGCCTAGGTCAAGGATCTGAAGCTCAGAGAAGCCTAGAGATCACTTGCTGGACTCCTTTCTGGCTTTGTGTTTTTTCCTGTGAACTCATATTGTTGGACTACTGTAGTATTTCTCAAAGTGCAATGGGCCTCTGGCATCAGAAACACAAGGGCACTTGTTAAAATGCCGATTGCTAGGTACCTGCACCTATGAATTCAATTTAGTAGGTCTGGGGTGGCATTCAGGATTCTGTTTTTACAAGTACCCTGGGTGAATGTGGTATACAATAAAGTTTGTGCCTGCCTGAGCTAGACACAATAGACTGCTTCTCACAGCAAAAAGATTCCTCAGTCCTGTGTCCATTAAATGGAAGAGACTGAATGTGAAGCAATTTGCCTAAGGCCATGCATGCATCTGGAAGGCCAGAGAACCTGTATCCTGCCTTCTAGGGCAGGGTCTTCGTACTGCACCTAAGAGTCATATTCGGGAAGATATAAGGAGGGACAAAGGGTGGGGGTAGGTGTGTGTGTGTGAAGGACTATGAGGCAAGAGCCATTGTCCCTGCCCCATAAACCCCTTCTCCATTCACTTTGCCTTTGGGCAATTTCCTCCAGAACCTGGGTGGGGGAGTGTGGGGTTCCGGTGTTGAAATGGCATCCTGGACAGACATAAACACCCCACCCATTCTGCCCACTGGCCAAGGGCCTGTGCCTACACCACCTCTCAGCTCTGAGGATGGCGATAGAACAAGGGGTTGGGGGCAGGAGGTAGGAGAGATCCTCTTTCAAAAGGATAATTTGCAGTTCTCACTAATTATGTTGTAAATCAGAGTAGACTTCATATCAAGCTGTGATAGGCCATCCTTGTGGTAATCTAAGGTCATGCAGTTTGAGGTCATCCTGTCCTATTTGTTCTATGATTCTTCTCCAACCTTAGCTCTTACTTATATGGCAGGAGTGGGGTGTAGTGTCTAGCCCTAAGAGATCAGGAGGTTTCTATCAAACCTACTTGGAATTTTTTGCTGAAGGCAGGGAGAACAGATGCAAGGGAAGAGGGCTGTCAGAGAACAGGGAGTAGGGTGAGGAGAAGGCTGACAGAGAGAAGATGAAGGCAGAGGTGAGGGTTTGCTGAGAAAGTTAAGCTGTCTGAGCAGAAAGGGACCTCTAAGTTCCATTTGTCCAACACCCCGGTTTTACAAATGAGGAAACAGAGGCTCAGAGAAGTGTGACTTGCCCAACATCACACTGCTACTTTTTGGCAGACCTGCAGCTAGAGCCCAGATCAAAAGAGAGGGACTGGAGGGGAATGCGTATTCAAGGCTTGAAGGAGAAATTCCCCAGAAGAGGAGGAAAGAGACTGAGATCCCACAGAAAGAACTGGTGATGTAGACCACCATGAAAGGCCTGGGGTATGAAGATAGAGGAGCAGGATGAGAAGGTGCCTGGAAAGTGATATAGGCTGGTAGACTCAGGCAATAGAGGTTCCAGACCTGACTCTGCTATTTACCAGCTTGGGTCTTAATGTCTGAACGGACCTTATAGGATCTTTGTGAAAGTCAGTCTCATAAATGAATACTTGTAACACAGTTCTTGACCAATACTCAATAAGTCTTTGTTACAGTTGTTGCATTACCTTAGGAGAGGAAAGATCCCTGGCTGTGGGATGGGGTATGGCCAAGATGACCCTCTGGGGATATAGGACAGAGGTCCAGTGACTCCAGAGACCATTTCTCCCTCTGCTGCTTGCAGCTGATAAACTTCTTATCTGGTCAAGGCAGGGGAGTCCAGGGCCAGGATAGGAGGAGAGGGCAGGGCTGCTATCAGCCAGCAGGCCTGGGCCATATCTCAGAGAAGGGGAGGGACTGTCTGCTTGGCTCTTCCCACAACACACTCCTTGGGGATCCTCAAACACTCACTCTCATCTTGGGAAGAAAAGACAGAGATCCTAAAACTGAGAGCAGGGGAGGAAAGCAGGCGTGATCTCTGATGTTGCCCCAGAAAATGGGGGGAAAACCCCCAGAAGATGTGGTTTCTTCCCCAGCCAGTGATACAATTTTGGGGAGAAAGAAGTAGGGAAAAGAGAAGGCATCTTGTCTGAAAAAAAGGTAAAGGCCTAATGTGCTCCCAAAGGATCTGAGTACAGCCATAGCAGGTGAGGTAGAGATCACATCACAGAAAAAGACTTTCTACAATAGCTTAAGGAGTTGGTTGATGAGTCCAGCATGAGTGGGAGGGGATGAGGTCTCTCCTTCTATCAGGTGACATTGGATGGAGCCTCTCTGTGGAGGCAGGCAGGACAAAATTGCTGACCCCTAGCAGCAGAGCCCTAACTCCCATTTATCCTTTGACACAGGTTGCTGGGGCCGTTTGGGCTTTGGGGGACCCTGGACCAGGCCCTGGCCCTGGCCCAGTAGGATGCCCCCGTGTCCTCCTCAGCAGAGCAGGAATAGGGTGACACAGCTGCCCACCCCGGAGCTGGGCGAGATGGAACTGACTTGGCAAGAGATCATGTCCATCACTGAGCTGCAGGTAAGTAGGACTGAGGGAGCAGGGGAAGGGAAGGGTAGAGGAGCAGGACGTTTAGTTGGGACTGAGGTAGGCGGCAGGAAGAAGGAGGGCTCAGGGTCTCAAGCTGGAAATGTTCCAAGGACTGAAAAAGAAAGGGCTGGAGTAGCAGGGAGATCTGGTTGTTAGACCAGAAAAATAAGGAGAAGGGGTGTGGAAGAGCAGGAGACAGGAGTGTTGGGGAAAGAAGGATCTGATTAGAAGTATAATCTCTCTCAGCAGCCACTCTGTTCACATCTCTCTACCCCATCTTCTGCTCCGCCTTCCCTTTCTCACCTCCTTCCCTTCTGACTTCCTTCCCCAATCCTGCTCATCTTCTTCCTTCATTTTCTCCCCCTGCCCTCAGCAGCTGGGCCCCTTTCCCTCAGCAGCTGGGCCCCTTTCCCCCAGGTAGCTGAGCAGTACTTCAGGGGCCTCAGGAAGGGGGGTCAGTCAATGCCGGGGTCCTCTCCTCCTACCAGTTGGACAAAGGGGTATCTGTTGGCCTAACAATGATGCCTTTGTCCCCAGCTGGGCTAGAGCAGGGTGGCTCCCCTATGTGGGTTGGGGGCCCTGTTTCTAGCATGTTCTTTTCTCCTCTCTGCACCTGGGAAGGGACAGAGGGACTGAAGAGTAGAGGGTAGAGCTAGTGCCAACTCCCCAAGGTGACTCTTAACCCCCAGACCTGGCTCTGTGCCTGCCCCCTTCTCTCCCCTGCCACCATGCATGGGCCCTCAGGATCTGTCCTAAACCCTGCTTCCACACAGCAGCTCCCTCTGCTGGGCACCCAGGGCATGGACAAGATCTGAACTTGACCTTTTGACCCTAGATAACCACAACAGGAAAGGGTTCTGAGGGGTCATCTTGGATAACAACTCCTTCTTTTCCTGAAAGAAATAAAAGAACATGAGGCATTTCCAGCCAGTCAGATCTACTGAGGAGGAGTTTTTATGATTGTTGTAATGCTAGTTCTTTCTGAAGTCTGATCTCAGTGACTTCCATTCCTGTTTAAGCAGCTTTCTTCTTGAAGTAGCTTCATTGCAATTCTAGAAGCTTTCAATGATTTTTTAGCACCTTTCTGTTCCCTTGTTATCATCTCACTGGGTCTTTCAGAAGGACCCAGCGTGATCCTGAGAGAGCTGGCCCTCTTCCTCAGTCTGTCTCCAAACTTTTTTGTCTTTTTCTTGCAGGGCCTAAATGCTCCAAGCGAACCATCATTTGAGCCCTCAGCCCCAGCCCCGTACCCTGGACCCCCGCCACCTCCAACTTATTGTCCCTGCTCAATCCATCCAGATGCTGGTTTCTCCCTTCCTCCACCACCTTATGAGCTCCCAGTAACCTCAGCTCATGTCCCAGACTCTCCATACTCTTATGGTAACATTGCCATACCAGTCTCCAAGCCACTGACTCTCTCAGGTCTCCTCAGTGAGCCCCTCCCAGACCCCTTAGCCCTCCTGGATATTGGGCTACCAGCCGGGCCACCCAAGCCCCAAGAAGACCCAGAATCCGACTCAGGATTATCCCTCAACTATAGTGATGCTGAATCTCTTGAGCTGGAGGGGACAGAGGCTGGTCGGCGGCGCAGCGAGTATATAGAGATGTACCCGGTGGAGTACCCCTACTCGCTAATGCCTAACTCCTTGGCCCACCCCAACTATGCCTTGCCACCTGCTGAGACCCCCTTAGCCTTACAGCCCTCCTCAGGCCCTGTGCGGTCCAAGCCCACTGCACGGGGAGAGGCAGGGAGTCGGGATGAGCGTCGGGCCCTGGCCATGAAGATCCCCTTCCCCACGGACAAGATTGTCAACTTGCCAGTAGATGACTTTAATGAGCTGTTGGCACGGTACCCGCTAACAGAAAGTCAGCTGGCACTAGTCCGGGACATTCGACGTAGGGGCAAGAACAAGGTGGCTGCCCAGAACTGTCGCAAGAGGAAGCTGGAGACAATCGTGCAGCTGGAGCGGGAACTGGAGAGACTCAGCAGCGAGCGGGAGCGGCTACTCAGGGCCCGAGGGGAGGCCGACCGGACCCTAGAGGTGATGCGCCAACAGCTGACCGAGCTGTACTGTGACATTTTCCAGCACCTGCGCGATGAAGCTGGCAACAACTACTCTCCTGAAGAGTATGTGTTGCAACAGGCTGCTGATGGGGCCATATTCCTGGTGCCCAGGGGGACCAAGATTGAGACCACAGACTGAGCGGACCCAGCAGGTTGGTCCTGGTGATGATTTCCTTCATTCCCTTTTGATAAAGATGTTCCTGGACCCTGAGGCCCCTAAGGGGACTACATGAAAAACCTGACATTTGTTGGGTCAAGGTGTGTTTAACGAGGCTTGCCTTGAGGCAAATAGGTGAGGGAAGGCTGCAATCTGATTCAGTTTCCCAGGTCTCCAATCTCCACATTGTTTGAGCTTTGGTATATAAAGCCCTCCACAGAAAAAGCTTTCCATTGTGTCTTCCTTCTGTTAGTGTGTATACAAACATACACTTTTCTTTTTTGACATAATTTTCTTGAAACAGAGTAATTTTCAGATGCCACATCAAAGTTCAAACTTCCTTGTTACCACACTTCCATTATCTTTGAAGTTGTGCGGTTCCCAATCTTCTCTGGAACTACATTACTCAAACTATTTGGGGTGTTTTGCTTCTATGTATATGTATACTTCTATTCGACTTTACCAGCTCCATTCCAATAGGGAAACTTTACTTTCAGGTTCAGTTAACACACTACAGTTTTGACAAAAACAGTGATGTAGAGATGTGGAATCTGCATACCTATACATTTTTGAAAAACATGGTTTCCTGCCCAGGTTTAGGGAATTTAAAATAACTTAAGGCGCTCACAAAAGTAACTCAGAAGCAAAATTAGACCTTTAGAAGCACCTAAGTTCTGCAGGGGAGACTACATGCCTAAAGCAGAAGGTGGAACATGGTTTTGGAGTGTGAACTAGGATGAGTCAGTTTTCATGAACTTGAACAGGGAATCTCTTCCTTGAATCTACTTCTTGTAAATTGTATCTGTAAAGCACCCCTCAATGTACAGAATGTAAAAATGTGTTAAGGTTTTCAGTAAGAGTGCTTTTAACTGTCACCTCAATAAATTGCTAATTTAGCAAATCTCTGGTAGTCCTGGTTTTCCTAAGTCTTGGAGTTTATGGATTCACATACCTCACCAACTCCCTCAGCCCTACCCTGCTGTTGTGAGGCTGTATGACTTCCCTCCTGAAGGCAGCAGGGGAAACTTAGGAGCCTACTGAAATTGCTTCTAAAAATATTTCAGATTCATCATCTTTGAGAAGCCAAGATTTAGCCTCCCTCCTATATTCTTACTGGACTTGATTTTTTTGAAGCCTAAGATAGCTGGCCCATATATGCTTGTCCACCAAAGATGACATCCACTATGCCCCTCGAGAACTTAGTAGGTCCAGCTCAGAAACGACAGTGGTGGCAGGTAGCTCTGGCTCCGCCCCCCTTTCTCTTGCCAGGGGAGCTAGAAAAAGGTTATGTACAAATGGGAAAAAAAGTAGGTAACAGTTTACTTCTAACAGGGTCAGGGCTGAGTCCTGCAGTGAGAACCCAGTTTCTCAGATCCCAGTAAATGATGCCAATGAGATAAACTTTTCTAAGGGCCCTGTTCCTTTAGATTGACACTGCTAAAAAATTGTTTAGCTGACACCTGGTATGTAATTATCTCCTGTATGTCTCATCCCCAATCTTGAAATGCTCAGTATCAAGCTTACTGTGTTGTGAAAGCAGAAAAAGAAAATAAGCAAAAACAAATTAAAAGCATTTTATTTAAAAAGTCCACTCATAAAACTGAATGATTAACTCAAGCTGCAGCACAGCTAAATGAAAACTGCATGGCAGTGAAAATGAAGTACACAGTGGCTCAGATAAAGGCTGTCCTCAAAAGGATGCTCCTGGCAAAAAGTAAAAAAAAGAAAAAGTTACGAAATAGTTATACAAGCAGATGAAAGATTCCCATTCTCTTTAATTGAGCCCAGTTGTTTTTAACAGATTTCTGAGAGCAGATTATGACATCCTTTTTGGTTCTGAGGCAAGCTCATTCTCTACTCTGGTAATACCAAAGTACTTTATAAAAACTTACCTTTTAACTATAATCTTGGACAGGTTTTTTTTTTTAAAGGACACTTGATAACCTGTAGTAGTAGCAGACTCCTCCCTAGAAAAGCAAACAACCTTTAGAACTAGCTTTTCTGAGACCAAGACCCATCTCAGGCTAAATCCCCCACCCCCCAATAGAGGCCCACCCACCCTCCCACCATCATTTGGGGGAAGATTGTAATACATTACTTTGAGCCATTGTTTTAAGGAAATGGGTCAAAGGAAGGAAGGAAGTGAAAATTAAAGGGCAAAAATTTATCACAGTACAGATCAAGTGCTCATTTCCTTCCATTGGGATCCACTAAGACTATGGTGTCAATTTATAAAATAATCCATCTCCAGAAAACCAAGTTCAGCTTAACTGGACTAGTTTTGGCTCAATATATTAAGGAAAATATAACAAACTGGATTTTAGATAACTATATGGATGTAAGTAAAATCTGTTCTTACCTACCAGCATAGCAATAAAACCTTTCCTCCTGGATCTGACTGCTAGTCCTAAGAGTCAGGTGTGCCTTACTCTTGTCTGCCTCCTTCCTTGCGATGGTCACTGAAACTTCACTCCCTCCTAGCTTTCACGGAGCGTGTCGTGGACTGCCCCTGGCTTATCTGTACTCCACATACCACAAGTGTCTACTCTCAGCTGTAGAGTGTCTGAGCTCGCAGTCATTCGCGCTATGCTTGCTAGCAGTTCCTAGTAGCTGAACATCTCTCCTGGATCTTTAAAGGCATTGTCAGGAATCCTGAGGTATCTGCAAACTCCCTCAATAGTTAAGGTTCCACCTGCCATTGCAAACTCAGCCAGTGTCAAACCCATGGAACTGTATCATCCATCCATGCTTTCCCACCCACATCCACCTCCCATCCACCTCCACCCACCCTCCCCTCCCCAAACTTCCAAGTAACACACCCATAGGTGAAATACAATCCTAGTGATCAACAAATCTCTATGCTACTAGGTAGGTACAATGGCACTGAAATTGAGGGTATCAAAGGGAAGGCTCAAAAGAACCTATGTACAAAAAACAATCACTGGATATTAAGTTAACTTTAGAAATCATTTTCTATACAATTAACATTTTAGGATGGTTACGTGATCTTGTGCTATGTTTAAAGGAAAACTGCAGTTAGCATGTTTATAAGCAGTATGGTTCTTTGACATCTCCATAATGTTAATCTCCAAATAGGCAACCTAGTGTGATTAAAATCTATTAAGTCTCTATAAAGACCCACCCAACCAGAACAAAGTAAACTGCAGTTTTCCTTTAATGTAGTGTAGGATTAAGAAACTCTTACTGGTTCTGGTAAGTTTAAAAACATCTCCCAAAACACTTCTAATCTGTGGATTTTTTGGAGCTGCATTAGCCAACAGCTGGTTTCTAATCTCTGGCAAAGTTTTGAATTTGAATTGGTGACAGAAGCATTCAACATTCATGGGTAGTGGGTAGGGAAAGTCCAAAGCTCTGCCAGTCCCAAATCCATACAGTTGTCATTCCATTCAAGAGGATATTAAATCGTTTATTGATTACACATGATAATGGATGATACACAAACTTTATTCCCATCTATAATTTTATCTGGTACCATAATTCAATTTAGTATATTGCATAGGATGTGCCAACAACCATTAGTAACCAAATAAACTCCATGACTCTGCTTGGGTGACCCTTTTAATGGTGAACTCCAGGTCACAACACAATAACTTATCAATTCAACTACACCAAGGTTTTTGAAGACAATGGCATGTGTGCCCAAGCAGGTTGTAAATAAATTTCAAATGGAATCTGGCATCACCCTGAAGGAATTCTAACTTCACACTGTTGGGGTAATTTACCAAGATGGCTTCAGAGTAGACTAACTTTACACAGCACATTTAAAAAAAAAAGACACATTTATTCAGCGTCATGATCAGACTATTACATTTAGCAATCAACAGCATGGGTGCAAAAAGGAAAAAAAAAAAAACTACATTAAAAACCCTTTGTTGGAATGCTTTACACTTTCCACAGAACAGAAACTAAAATAACCTGTTATACAATTAGTCACAAATACAGTCCTCGAGTTTTTTTGCCCATTCACATGAGTATTGTCTAAAACATGTCTTCTTTGTAGCAGCTAGGCCCTGCCACCACTGTGCTTGGCTGAGTTCACAAATCTGTTGTAACCTGTAGCTTCCCTGTCACTTCTCTGGCTCTCCTCTCCTGCTAAGCTTTGTTTCCTGTTGAACAATATGGAATAAAGTTGTTAATCTAAACATATTAAGACTTAAGGCTACAATCCAATAGCAAGTTGTTTCCCACAAATTTTGCTGATCTGAATATTAACTTAATATCCACAATTTTACTGCAGTTACATTGTTAACTATGTTGCACTGCTTAGCTACATTAGGGTTACTGGGTTCATTTTCAATCATAAAAATTAAGTTGAAACAGAAAAAGGTGTTTACTTACCTGGCATAATTAAAACCTTCTGCCACTGCCATAGCTACTGCTGCTGCTGGAACCACCATAGCCACCTAAGAATAACGTTTGTTCCTTTAAACTTTCAAAGTGCCAAGCAGTAACACTTTTATATTTGAAGCAATAAAATTCAAACTGGAGTTTCAGCTCAGATGACATTTTCAATTTGACTGAGTTACCAGTCACTTAAGAACTTTGTCAGGCTGGCTATTATAGCCCACACAATGTCATCTAAGACTCAAACTATTCTTTAGCAGTACGAATTAAAGACACCTAGCCCTCTACTACTACAACTACCACCACTATCACCACCACCACCATTCACACACTCACTATACCTTGGTTTCGTGGTTTGGCAAAGTATTGGCCTCCACCACCATAGGGGCCAGAGCTTCTGCCTCCAAAGTTTCCTCCTTTCATGGGCCCAAAATTTGAAGATTGATTGTTGTAATTGCCAAAATCATTGTAGCTTCCACCACCTCCAAAGTTGCTTCCTAGGAATGGAAAGAGGACCTTTATCTGTTACTGAGGAAAGATGACAGCTCTGAAATCTATTTAGTGTTCAAAAATGGAAAAAGAAAAAAAAAAAAGTTGCATGACCTGCCTTCCACCCAAACTCTGATGGCTCCAATGTTTATCTTTGTATTTCATCTTTTCCAGGTAAGCAAGCATTCAGTTGAATAATCCAGAATTTTACTCAACTCACCATGACAACACAGACCATATCCTATAGCCTTGAAGTCCTTGACCCATCCAGGGGCACTACAAACACATGCTGGATTCATCAACTAAGTGCCTATGGTCCCAAAGAAGTTAAGACACTAAATCCTACTAGAGCTAATCTAGTTCCAGTTGAACAGCTGAAGATGCCACTATCCACTCATTCATCTATTTGGGAGTGAGGCGGCCCCAGCTTAAAGCTAGGAGGTAGCACAGCAAGCCCATTAAAAAAAATACCATGCAATGTACCACATAATGCATCTAATCCCCACATGGGCATAAATTCTACAAGGCTAATCTAGCTACTGCACCAAGTACCTGGATCACTGGATACCTACCACTACCACCGCCAAAGCCGCCTCCGCCTCCTCCGTTGTTATAGCTGTCATAGCTGCCACTCCCGCCATAGCCACTGCCCTGGTTTCCATAACCCTGTCCACCACTTCCATAGCCTCTGCTTCCTCCAGAGTAACCAGGGCCGCCTCCTCCATAACCACCTACAAGAATACAATTCTTCTCAATAAGACAAAAGTATTCAACAATCAAAACCTGTTTAAGCGTAATGGGTAACAGCCTGCTCACATGCTGTTATGGTCAGAATTTAGCTTGTCATGCACTAGAGTTTTAGTCTCTACCGACCTATTCTATAGATCACCAAAAACAAACACCTCCCCCAACTTTTTGCCTGTTTATTTCTAAATAAACCAACCCACAAAACTTACCATCATTACCAAATCCATTATAGCCATCCCCACTGCCACCATATCCACCACCACCACGGCTACCACCAAAGCCACCTGGAAGAAAGCAGATTTGAAGTATATGAATTCCATACAAATAAATTACAGCCTCGTAAGTATAAACTTGAGAGAACAGTTCCTGTGCTAAAAAAATTATTTTCACACACAGGACTTTAACTTTGGGTTGGTGAGAAGCCAGAAGTACATTTAAATAGAATATAACTTTGGAAACAGTGACCATACTGTCAGATTGCACAAAGGACAAGTTATTTGAAGTCATTAAATTATGATCAAATATACCTCGACCACTGAAGTTTCCTCCACGACCAAAGTTGTCATTCCCACCAAATCCACCTCCACGACCACCTCCGAAGTTTCCAGAACCACTTCGACCTTAAGAAAAGATGAATTGCATTAAACCATAAAAATTGGAATTGGTCCTTAAGGTTTAACAAAAGCAACAAACCCACCTCTTTGGCTGGATGACGCACTCGCCATCTCTTGCTTAGATAGAGCTTTCCTTACTTCACAGTTGTGGCCATTTACAGTATGGTATTTCTGAACTAAAAAATTTGAAGATAAAAAGAACACAACCTCAGGGTTTGGAATATAACCAGAATTTCAGAACCCTTAGCTAACAAACATGTCATGATACTCACTGACAATTTTGTCGACAGAGTCATGGTCATCAAAGGTTACAAAAGCAAAGCCTCTCTTTTTGCCACTGCCTCGGTCAGTCATGATTTCAATCACTTCAATTTTTCCATACTGTTCAAAATAATCTCTTAGGTGATGTTCTTCAGTGTCTTCTTTAATACCACCAACGAAAATCTTTTTCACAGTTAAGTGGGCACCCGGTCTTTGAGAATCCTAAGGGGAAAAAACCCAATTAAGTTAGACACTAGCAAGATCTCCTAAAATTACGGTTCAAGTTTGTTACTATTCCCAAACATTGTATCTACCTGGTGGCACACTTGTAAATGACTAGGGAAGGGAAAAATAAATCACTCACTTCTCTTGAGACAGCCCTCTTTGGTTCCACAACTCTTCCATCCACCTTGTGTGGCCTTGCATTCATGGCTGCATCCACCTCCTCCACAGTGGCATATGTGACAAACCCAAAGCCTCTGGAGCGCTTGGTGTTTGGATCTCTCATCACCTAAAATGTAATTCATTTAAAATCATAGTAAGACGCCCAAACTACTGTCATTTCTACCTTGAATAAGATAATAGGAAAGTATACTAGTCTTCGAACAAAGTCCTTCAGTTTCCCATTATTCTTGTACAAATCTATTGAGAGCTTTTTAGCTCCCTAACGCCACACCTTCTCATCATTTCCAACTATAATCCTGTTAACAATAGCCATTAAGTATTCAGACAAGACCTATGGCACGAGAAGCCTAGTAAACCAACTAGTTCTAGGGCCCTTTTTCTCTTCCAAGTCTTACCACACAGTCTGTGAGCGTTCCCCATTGCTCAAAATGGCTCCTCAGACTCTCATCTGTTGTTTCAAAGCTCAAACCTCCGATAAAGAGCTTCCGTAGCTGTTCCGGCTCTTTGGGAGACTAGGAATGGGGAAGGGAGGGAAGCGTTAAATTAGCCGGTTAACGCAAAACACCGTTCACTTAAGCAAAACTAGACAGTATGCACGCAGTGCTTATTGTTCCTTCTGGTCGCAGCAAGCCACGTGTTTATCCCCACGGGGGACAGAGTACTGGAAGGTACAAAACAGCGAGCGCATGCGTCCCTACTCTGCCTTTGACGCACGCGCAACAAAAGGACTGAACGGGAGGGGCCCGTTGCCAAAAAGAGACGAAAGCGGCTTTTTAAGAAACTCGCCTACTGAGACAAGGTAAAAAAAAAAAAGACTTAATATGCCTAAGAGATTTACTGGGAGGTACAAGCCTGGCATAATAACTGTTACGGGACGGCGGCCTCATGGCCACGACGAGGACAAAATGGCGACCTGAACTTTGGGAGGGGTAGGCCCGGGCCGCGACCGAAGAACTGCCGAATGGGCTGGCGCAAGCAGCCAATCTAAACTGCATCCCACGAAACTGAGGCAGAGGTGAGCAAGAAAATTAAGTTGGAGAGACCGTCTTACCCACCTCTGATTTAGACATGACGATTGCAGAAGAGAGAACTTCAACGATGCTTACTCAGTGGCGTCCACCGGCAGAAAGGAGTACTGTAACGAACGTATCTGCCAGCCTACCTTCGGCCTCGCTTTTTATCCCGCCTCCTCCCTTACGGCATTGGTAGACTCCGCCCCTGAATAGCTGTGATTGGATATTTGAAATAGCTTCCTGCTACTATTGGCCTGTGATGCCGCATTGCTGTTAACGTCATTCCTTTTGGAGGTCTGCGTAGTCTCCACCCCTCGGAGTTCATTGGTCCCCGAGTAATATTATTCTTAACTAATCTGATTGGCTAGACAACAAATCATTTATATTTGAATGTACCTAGGATATTTAAATAACTTTTTAATCCCCCACTCTTCGAATACTACATTCTACTTAGTTGTCAGGGCATGATTAATACTATATTTCAAAAAGTAGCATGTGATAATTTTATTTTTGCAACAACTACTGCTGAGCGCATGTGTAGTAAAATGGCGAGTTTACGCACGCGCACTAGGAAGTTCCGCTTGGCTCAAAGAACACGTGAAATGGCGGGTGGGAGACGGCAGTGAATTTATAGCGCCTGCGTAGTGGCGGGAGCTGTGCCGCGTTTTGCGCAGGCTTAGTGGGCGGAGAAAAGGTCTGGTTCCAGGATTGGTCGCGCAGGCGCAGGAAACGATCCGTTTTGGCGGGCGGTTGGCGTTGCGCAGAAGACGGTGGCAGTGGTGGCTTGTGGTCTGGCCTCATCATAGAGGAACAGGGAAGACATTAGCGTGAGTGATCGGTGTCGATTCCGGGTAAGTGGCGGACAGTCTTGCCTACCCATATGAGGTCTTGAACCGACTCCAATTGGGCCAGTTATTGTGTGAAATGAATGGACGGTGGGGTGGGGGCTAGTGAAGGGGGAGCGGTTGGTCGGGCCAACCAATAGAAGAACAGGGGCGGATGTTTTGTCCCTGTAGGTTTTGTGGAGCTTTGCAGCCGAAGAGTTTGACTGGCAAGTGTGCAGGCCAATTGGGTTTACCTTTAGCTGTCTACTTTTCGGTCCTTGGACCTTCGGAATATGGGAGGCGGGTTTTCGCCTCCTGAGCAGCGTCTCACTGAGCCAATGAGCACGAAGCGCGCGGTAGGTTGGGCTCTTCCGAGAGGCTGCGGTTTGACTCCAATGGGGAATGAGGGGGTCGCGCGGTTAAATGGATGGATCAAATCTGGAGCCAATACAATAAGAGGACAACCTATGGAGAGCGCTCGGCTGAGTCGTCCAATTAATGTTCCAAAGGGCAGGAGTGTTAGGTTTGTGGTTGTGAGAAAGGAGATTCAATGCCTGTGATGGCGCGTCGGGTGGATGGATGTTTTATCCACGATAACTTCTCTAACGAAGCCTTTAGGCCTCCATCCCATAAACCTCCCTGGTAGGGAAACGGTACGTTTGCTCCTGTATACCTCGAGTTTGCCATTTTTTTCTCCTCATCTCTACATCCCACCATCCACTGTCGATTTTGAGGGGAGTAAGGGAAGTCTTTTGACTTGGAGAATTAGCTTGTTTAGGAAGACTGACTTGATATGTTAGAACGAATGGGATAAACCTCTACTACTGTCATTGAAAGGCACCCAAGTAAAACCCGCATAATGCATATTTCCACGGAGAACTCAGTATTTGTAAATCCATAAAGTTTTGGAAAGCTACATGACCAGAATGTGTAACTCTAGGGTTACTGGGAGATGGAGGCAGATTGGATCTCTAATACTTAAATCTCTCCAGGGCTAATAATTGTGATTAAAATTAAATTCAAAAGTCAGCTGTTTTTTGTTTCCATTCATAATCATGTACTTCTCACCGCCATTCTCCTTACACCTCGAAGGAGGAAAGCGCAGTTTTTCCCTTAGAAACTAAGGTGATTCTCTGTCTGGAAGTATAAATAAAAAAGTAACTTTTGGGTACTTAGTACCTGCTAGGCATCATGTTAAGAGCTTTGCAAGAATTATCCATGTCCCCAATGCCTTAGTTTCTCCTTCGAGGAACTTTCCCCACTACATATATCTTTCTATGCACCATAAAGAGTTCTAAGCCCCTTTGCTGTTTCTCTGAGGATGTCTGAATTTGGATAAGAAGGAAGCTGCTTAAGGAGGGTGATCCATCACCTGGATTACTTTGTTACCATTTGATTATATTTCCTTCAAAGTGTTTATTTAACATGCAGTTCATCTCTTGGTAATGCCCATTCTACTCATTCCAAGACTTTTACTAAGATACAGAAATTTTCATTGTCCTTTTGCTGTGTCAATGTATACTACTCTATTCACTGATTTATTTAGGGTCAAGGGAAATAGTGTATAACTACTGTAATAAGTTCAGCTACATATCAAGTACCCTTATGATTAGAGACCTTTCTGGCAAAAGACAGATGATTTTAGCATACAGTGGAGAGAGGAGGGATTTCCATGTTCTCTGGCACTTGAAAAGGGACAAATCTATTTCATATTTGGTTATAAACTGTAGGGATACTGATAATACAGCTCCTTAGTTTATAAATATTAGTTTATGTTTTTTGCTTTTATTGACGTTTTATTTAAACACACAGCATGATTTACTTATAGGAATAGCCCATTCAACAAGGAAACTAAAGGAATATATGTAGGTTAAGGTATCCATTCCTAATTTATTTAGGTTTGAAAAGAATACACTCTTGGTCTACAGAGTTTGCCACCCTCAGGACTCTTGATATTTCTGGCAGGGTGAATGTACCTCCCCTCCCCCCACTCCCATTTGTGACATTCAGAATGTTTCCATACATTGCCAGATGTCCTCGGGGGTTATATGGGAGCAAAATCTCCACCAGTTGAAAATTATTGATCTTATAAAATGACTGGTGCTAAAGTTGATTATCTTGTCAAAATCTTTAACCAATTGGAAATTTGAGGGAGAAGATGGGTGAAGGGTTTAGGAAGTATCTTTTGGTAAATGAATTACTAAATCTTAATGATTATCTCTTCAGGTGTAGAGTGATCATTGTTTCATTGGATAAAAGGAAATTTTCATTAGTAATTGGTCAGTGGCATGTCAGGAATTGGGTCACACAACCAGGTTACACAGCCGGAGGTGAGGGGGTCAGGCCAGTGAGCAAAGCTGCCTGAGCTACGTCCCCCTCCCAATCCTCCCGGTGGAAAAATTGTCTTTTACGAAGTCAGTCCCTGGTGCCAGAAAGGTTGAGGATTGCTGTTCTAAAATAATGGCAAATACGATTTCTAAAGCAAGTCTATTTCCAAGGTAGACGTGCTTTAGACGCTTGCATTTCATCTGAGTTAAGCCTCCTTCCTTTACTGGGATTCTTTTGGATCAGTGTCTCAAACTTTTTTTGACCTTGATGCTCATAAAGAAACACATTTTATACTGACCCTGCACACAATATTAAAACAAGTTTCTCTGTATAAATAAATGTGCAAAGAGTATACTATTTTTTTGCATCTACAGTACATTACTTCATTTTCTTAAAAACGTACATCATTTTTTGCTGAACTGATTTCATAGCTATGCACAGACCCACAGTTTAGAGAAAAAAGAAAAACAACTGATCTATAGATTAGGTAACCAAATTATGCCACTTTAGATTATATTTTAATTTGAAAGATTTCAGGATTTGAACATAGTTTTTGGGTACTTTGGTGTGGAAGTAAAAATTACTTGTTTTATTATGAATTATCTTACAGTATTATAGTTGATATATCTGATAAACATTTCTCTGGTAGGAAAATTTTAGTGGGTAATTTTTCATTGAAGTTCTAAGAATATCACATTGAAAATTCTAACTTTAGACTTTTTTCCTTGCCTTTGGAGAACCTGGCTTGGTTGTTAACAAGACAGAATGTTGAGACTATGTTATAAAAATTAAATTTCAATCACTTGTGCTTATTCCTCAGAGGCATATTATTGCAGCTAAAGCTAAAAGGGAAAATAACACATCTTCACTGAAAACTAATCAGTAGGTGAGTAGAATGATGTCTGAGGAAAAAGAAAGAACATACCTCTGGAGTGACTGGATTTTTATATGTCCAGGAAACTTCTGGTGATTCTCATAGCCCTCACAATAGCTCTAGAAAAAGAGAAGAGTATCCAGAGTATAAAGATTTCTGAGGAAGACAAGTATTTTTTGCTTTTATTGACATATTTTACGTAAATACATAGCATGATTTATTTATCTTATTGGAATAGCCCATTCAGTAACTCTTGGGGAAACATTTTTTTCCTTTTTTGTTCTTTTTACTTCCTCTATTTTTATTTCCATTCATCTTGCATGATATTGGGTCTAAAGCTGTGTGCTATGGATATTGACTTTAAAAAGTAATAAGTTATAGTGTGAAATATCACTTATAACTGACTCAATGTGGCTGCTATTTATATGATGTTATTTGTGAATTTGGACTCTGGGCTCTCATCTTTTTTCCCTGATGTAAACTTTGATTTTCCTTTGTTCCTTGTAGAGGATGGCTTTAGCTGATCATTGAATTAATGGGAAGAAGTCCAGGTCATCCTGAGAAGAGTTGGCTTGTGCAGAGTCCAAGATGCAGATTTGTTGGACTTTTGTGAGCCACTTGAAGCCACATATTTATTTCTGATGACAACTTTACACTTGTGTTGGCAGAACACCCACAGTGACAACTGTTGCCTATGTTTAGTCTGTACAGGAGCCCTACCAGCTAGCATGTTGGGGAAAACATAAACTGGTTTTCTCAGTAGCTGTGTAATATTATGTAATATTAAAGCTTTCTGAATTTGTCTTCTTAGATCTCCCAATGTTTCAGGTAAATTATGTGCTGTGATTGCTTCAATTTACCCTTTGAAATGAGGGACTAAAGGTTTTAGGCAATCTATGGGTCACTTGAAGCACACTTCTTTTTGGATCAGTAATTAGTTTTATATATGTCCAGTTTATGATTTTTATAAGTTACATTTCCCCTTTGTGTTAGTGGTTTTTGTTTGTTTGTTTGTTTGTTTTTTGCTATAACAAATTACCAAAAACTTGGTGGCTTCAAACAGTTCTGGAGGCCAGAATTCTGTAATCAAGGTGTTGAGCTCTTTCTGGGGGCTCTTGGGGAGAGGCCCTTCCTTTCCTTTTCCAGCTTCTGGTGGTTGTCAGCCTCATTTTGTGGCCTCATCTCTCTCTGTCTTCACATTCTCTTTATTTTTCTCAGAATTTTCTTCTACCTCTCATAAGGATACACATGATTGCATTTAAGGCCCATGGATAATCCGGGATAAATTCTCCTTTCACATCTTTGAATCACATTGTTTGCCATATTAGGTAATTTTCATAGGTTCTAGGGATTTGGACATGAATTTTTTTTTTGGAGCCAGCATTCAGATTAGTACACCCTCCCTGCTTCAAATAAATTTTACCAAATCCAAAAACCCCTATCCAAATAAATTTTACCAAATTCAAAAAAGGAAAGGTTACTTAAGAGAGGGAAAATGAGGCAGGCAAGTTGGGGGGAAAGGCTCAGAAGACATGGGTTCTTATTTCTGTCATTAAGTAGTGATATAGTAACCTTGGGTGAGCCATTTGTCCTCTTTGGTCCTTAGTTTCTTCATCTTATAGTATACAGAAGGATTTGTGTAGGTGATAGCTAATAGCCTTCTAGACCAAACACTTTCATGAAGGTGACTCCTAAAATGTCTTAGAATTTCTTTTTAAGATTTTATTTATTTATTTGTAGAAAGTGGGGAAGAGAGGAAGAGAAACATCAGTGTGTGGTTGCCTCTCACGTGCCCTCAACTGGGGACCTGGCCGATAACCCAGGC